TAGAACGTTCATGAAACCTCGAGAGGTTGCTAGATTCAGTATTCTTGTATATAAGACGGTCAAGACGTGATGGCAACAATGTGTAATTGAACTGCGGACAGAGAGAGATGTATTGTTGAGCACGTGAGACGTTGTTGTGAATTATAGCGCGACCGTGGAAATTAAGTGTATTGCAAAGTTGTGTTTAGAAAGAATAAACCCGTTTTATTTAAGAAAGGACTTATATCCCTAGAGTTTCTTCAGAAAGAAATTATACAGAAAATTAACTAACGAACGGGGGCGTAACAATATATATATATGTGTGTGTATACTAATTACTGAAAGTACTCAACCATGGGGAACAGGCTTTTTCTTTAAATAAATAAAAAATCCATATTTGAGCACACACTAAACTTTTTAACATACAAAAAAGTAGGAGTGAAAATGTAAAATAAGAAACTTAGATCCTGATAACATAACTGTCATCAAGTTAAAAATAAATCAAAAAGCTAACATATGGTGTACTTTATAATAATTATTCTGCATTTGGATCAATTTGGATTTCAAATATTTTCTTGACACAAAAAAGTATATAGTTAAGTGTGCATTTTATACCATAAAATTGTAGAACAAACTAATATAATAACTGATTTAGAATCCACTACATCTTTTCTTGAAATTATGTTATTTTTCCATCATATCTGTAGTAGCCACAACTTGTTGACTCAGTACTGTAGCCTTTGATAATCGTTCCTTTTTTAGATTTATGAACCAGTTATTCAGTTTAATGCTGCTATCAATGATCACATCCAGTACATTTTTCAGTGAGATACCAAGCCAAATTCCAAGATATCCACCAATGTAACTGAATAGTTCCACATCCTATATAAAGCAGAGATGGTCAAGAACAAGAAAATGAACACTAAAAATAACATCACCAATGTTTCTATAACAATTTTGAGCATTTAAACTAATCAGATGTTTGTTGTCACAGTCAGTCATTTCTTATTCGACAATTGTTAACATTTAAATGATAATAAAAGATATTTTCAAAATTTCATGACAGGCTTAGCTACTATAAATCGCTTTATCCTTGAAAAATGTCATATGCCAAGTGATAACAATTATTACTGAAGTATTTTCAGATATAAAGCCTGTTTCTATGATTGTTTATTCATTGTAAAAAATTTACCTCATATCTTGGATGGTATTTGTGAACCAAAACATCTTCATTAATCAAAATCCTAACTCTTGCATAATTCATTCTGGAAAAAAAAATGAGCATAGAAATTTGTATCTATACTTTTAAAATCTCTGAAAGTTAATGATTTTGAAAGCCTCAAAACTTCCATACATTTTTTTTAATAACAACTATTTTAGTTATTCTTTGATAGATTGTTTAGGCAGAGTATTCATGATGAGTATACTGGAATGGACAGTAACTGGCTGTTATAACAAACACGCTTTGAAAGTCTTCCATCTTTCAGTTGCTGTTCATTCCAGTTTATTTTGCTTATTTTTTCAATTTGGTGCAAGCCATAATTAGTAATCAATAACATACAATTAAATTTATAAAATTTTATTGGAGAATATATGTTTGGATAGAATTACGGTAGAACTCTAAACAAGTTATTGTTTATTGTTAATTATCTATTGGTTTAATGTAAGTGACTATTGTTCGGGGCAGTGTTACGACAGCAGAAGTCATGTAATGCTTGGAGCATGTGCGCTGGAGTTTCTATAAAAATCATGAATTTTCCTGGCAACTATAGTTTGTTCCAAACACCCTCTTTTTTAATATAAAAGCCTGGCAAATAAAGCCTGCAAAAAAAGATAGAATTGCATAGATAGATAGATATAGAGATAGATAATTGAGTCAAGCGGACAGTAGGCACCATAAGTAAAGTGTGTGATTCGCTGTGAATTATAGAATGTGTTTATAAAAATAGTTAAGTTAAAGTGACTGTGGAAATTCTGTGTATTACAAAGTTGTATCGTGAAAGATTAAACTAGCTTTAATTAGGAAAGGACTTGTGTCGCTGAAGTTCCTGGGAAAGAATTTATACCGGAAATTAACAAACGAGTAGAGATACATAACAATATGTTTGGATAAAACTCTAAACAATATGTTTTCAATAGAATATTTTCATCCTTTTTTTTATTTCAGCAAAAGAAATAAAATCATTCACTAACAAACTGAAAAAGATCTTCTATCTAGTTTGGAATTTTCCACAGATGCCATAATCATGAAAGCACGTAAATCACTTTATTTGACAGATGTCAATTTAAAAATGAACATAAGATATTCCAACTTAGGTGCTGATTTGGATAACATTTGTAGAGAGAAAATACATTCAATTTAAATAAATAATTAAATTAGAAAGAATGTTTATTTATAAAAATCATAAATACATCAAGACAATGTCTTTAGTATTACTTATATATTTACAAGTATTATAGGAATTTTTAATTACAAACATGAATACAGTATTACACAGTTGAGGTATAATGTGATAAATGTGAGTAATATCTGATTCAAAATGAAAGTTCACATTTTCCAACACTGAAAATGTATTTCTAATAGATACTTTTCTCCTCTCACCTAATAGTTTTCCTTGATTAGTGCTGCCTTTTACATGTGCAATTTTTGCTTGCCACTAATCTTGAGGATCCCACCTACTTTCACATGATATAGCTCTGTTGTAGCATGCAAATCAGCATGTGATAACCTTCCACCAATAGGAGTGTGACACACCATTACAGCTCTGCTGACTTCCTCTATACTGTAGATCACATTCATCACTTTGAGCTTAGGCAAGTGTGTTCCAAAATCCAAATTTGGATCTGGATTAAATTTGGAGAGGACTGTCCCATACTTACTTCCCATCTTGTGTAAAAATTTTGTATACCTCAGTATATTATTTTTATATATACGCATGCGAAATACAAAGAGACAGACACACATGGACCCAATTGTAATGAGAAAAAGAACATCCAGAAGCTCACCTCAATCAACTCAAGACCTGAGGCAAAAGACCACCGTAAAGTTAGAAAAGTCCCCATGATAAATCTAGGGAGGTCGAGAAACTGCCTGAGACATAAAATGACTAAAAACAGATGTCTAGCTATGGATTCCTCGGGGACCATGAAAAAATGGGAATAGCTCCCAGAAAAGGATGAGAAACCCATCCAATAGATCCTTAAGTTATTATATCTAACACTGCTATGAATGTTGGCAAAAAACAAGAGGAGATGGAGGGAAGTAACAGGAATAGGAAACAAAGGAGTAGGAGAGGAAATAAACAAAGGGTAAGGCGATTTGACAAAACTTCACAAATGGAGGGAAAAGGTTCACAAACCTAAGGAAACAGGACTCACCAACCCTGAGCTTATAGGAAGTCACTACAAAGACTGATAGTAATGAAATTTGCAATCAGTGGGAAGACAGATGGGAACACAGGAAAGGGAAGTGGAGACAAGGAAAAAAAACGAGGAAGCAGGGAGAAAGCAGAGAGAGAAGGGAAAAAAGGAGCACAGGAGAGACCAGTAAAACAATAAGGATAATGAAGATCATTGGCATGCAGCTCCAACATATGATCCCTGAGAAACGAGCACCCCCAGTAAAATCACACAGGCAGATGAAAGCATAGCAGATAAAAGGGAGACAAAAGGACTTGAGTAAAGAGGCCATAAATCCCAAAAAAACCTCTAGAAACAGATCAATCAAATATGAAAGGATAAGTCCGAGGAAGAAAAATATGCTACTAAAGAGATGATCAGTGAACAAACATCCAATGAAAACCCCTGAGGAGAATGGTAGACTGCCATGGAAAGAAATTGAATGGAGGAAAAAATGATGAAGAAGAGTAAAGAGTGCAAGAGGAAAGTGGGAAATTTAAGACTAAAAAAAGATAAACAAAAGACAGAGGATCTGATACCCAAGTCAGAAGAAAAGAAATCCAGAGTTGAAAAGGCAAAGAAAGGCAATACAGAATAAAGTTAGGCCTAGTAATAAGACGTAACAAAGGAAAGAGAGCAATGTATACCTGCACCAAAATAGTGGTAAAAGGAGTTGAAGACAGATGAATATATCTTGATAGAAAGTAAAAACAAAATAAAAAGGAGCAGGGAATGAATAACAAAGATGAGTGAAACATACCTGGAAAACCTAGTCCTGAAATTACGCAAAAGGCTTAAGTAGATGCAAGAAAACGGCAAAATCTCTTCCTAAGCGAATGCAAAACATGGGTGGAGTATGGTCTGGTACAAAAGAAGGTCTAAGCTGCATGAACCACTCCCCCACCTGCCACACAAAAGCCATCACATCTTCTAACACACAAATACAAACCCGACCCCAACATTATATCTCACACTAGACAGAATGGAAGTTACTGATGCTAATGAAATAATAAAGTGGAAATAAATGTCCACAAAATCTGCAGGTGTAGAAAATGTTGTTAATCGAAAATTCAGTAATAAATACTTCCACTTTAAAAAACGCCTAACTCTGAAAAGTACACGAGCAAAAAAAAATTACTTCATAACATACGAGTGCCAAATTGAGAAGTGACGAACGTGATCTACAGTATAGAGACAGTCAACTGTGTTAGGAGGATGTGTCGCACTCTTATTATTGGATGGTTATTGCTTGCTCATTTGCATGCTACAATGCTGCTATACCTCACATAATCACGAGAAGTTAGAAGAGGGCTTCAGGGCTAGCAACAAGCGAAATTGTGCATATAGAGGGAAGCACAAATCGAGAAAAGCTATTATACGAGTAGAGATAATGTATCGTGTTGAAAATGGACATTCTTATAACAACTATACTGCTCTGTATTTGTTACATAAAATAAATAAAACATTTTTGAGAAGTAATAAGAAATTTTGTAGTAGTGTATAAAACAAAAACATACCTTATATTCTCCAAGAAGATGGATTGCTTCATATCAAAATGGTATGATGACTTTGCTAATAGCTATAATATAAATAGTTATTTTTCATTATAACCACCATTTTTTTTTTTTTGCTTATTTTATGCATACATATTAATATTATTCCAAAATAACTGCTGATTAAATAACAATATTGTCCCAGTGGTTAAATTGGGAATTTCTAAGGAGTGGAACTTGCTTTTCTGTTCCACTTTGATATTCCATTTTTTTTCCATTCAAGTTTAAAATCGAAAGAGAAAGAGTATCCCAGCCTGAAACACAGTGAACATCTTATATATATTGTGAACTGTGGTGTTTGTCAGAGTGTTGGTCTGTCTCCTGTTTGAAGAGATGCACATGCAAGCAAAGCTCAACTTCACTTTTGAGATGATAGGAGAACAGGTATGAATAACGTTGATGCAAAATTTTATTTCACAAGCAGGATATTCTACACTAAATTGTTAGGAATTAATCACACTATCATTCACATTTCAAAATGTAATGTAACTTAAAGATTAAAAATTTAAGTTACCATATATTATTGTTGAGCAGCTCTTAGCATGACTGAAATGCTCAACATTTACTTTTCGTGGTGGGCAGTATAAGTAGTTCAGAGTTTTGGCTCTGAGTGAAACCAAGAGTATAACACAATAAACCTTTCTAAAGCCCATGAAATAATTTAAATTGATAGTTTAACTTAAACTTTTCCTGTCTCTGTGGATGGGTACTTTTGCTTGTTAAAACATATAATTAACCATTTTTTGTGATACAAGTTTTCCCCTTCTTTTGTTTTTAATGACATAGAAACATAGCCAATAAAGTAGTTTGAGCTAATTTCAATATCCTGCTAATTCTCCCATTATATAGCAAACTAGCTTAATATTCCTTGAGGAAATCATGTTCACCTGAAAATATCACAGAGTAGGTAGGAAGGAGAAATTTTAGTATCATTGTGATATTATCATGTAAAACTGATAGGTAATCCTACAATGATAGTGGATTCAAGCATCAAATGAGTGAAATGTTCTGTAGTTGTTGATAACTTGACTGAATTTTAAACTGTGTGAGAAATTAGAAGATTGCACAAATTCAAAGGATAGTGAACACAATTTATATTTAGAGAAAACAGTGAGCATAACTTCATATCCAAACTAGTGCAATAGTGAATAGCTCTTCAGCTTTCTGTCTCTCAAGATGGATGCAGTCACAATGAAAACCAATGACAGGGGCCTTCAGAAAAAAAAAATTATTAATTGCATCTATCTACAAAAATACCTTACTTACAGTATTGACGTCAAAGAACACATGAGGCATGTGAGGTGTTATGTCTCTGGTCGTTAGTTAATTTTCCGTAAAAATTCTTTCCGAAGAAACTTTAGCGATACAAGTCCTTTCTTAAATATAACTGGTTTATTCTTTCTGAATACAACTTTGCAATACACTTAATTTTCACAGTCACGCTATAACAAACTCTATAATTCACAACTAACGCCTCACGTGCTCGACTCAACAATATGTCTCTCTCTGTCCACAGTTCAATTACATTGTTGCCGTCACGTCTTGAACGTCTTATATATTGTTACGCCTCCGTTCGTTAGTTAATTTTCCGTAAAAATTATTTCCGATGAACCTTTAGCGATACAAGTTCTTTCTTAAATAAAACTGGTTTATTCTTTCTTAATACAACTTTGCAATACACTTAATCTCCACAGTCGCGCTATAACAAACGCTATAATTCACAACGAACGTCTCACGTGCTCGACTCAACTGGCAATTACAACGTTGCCGTCACTTCTTGGTGGCTTATATATACAAGACTACCGCATATCTAGTAGCCTCCCGAGACTTCAGGAAGGAACGTGAACGTTCTAGAAGCGCATGACGTGTTACTAGGGTTACGTGACCTCCGCTGTCGTAACACTGCCCCTTCCTTAGTATTGTTCGTCCCGAACAATAGCCACTTACATTAATTCAATAAACAATTAACAATAACTGAATTAAATGTACAGAATTTACAAACACAAAATTAAAATTCAACAAAGTCTCTTAATTTTACGGGACGTATCTTCTTCCGGACTGGTCTCCATCTCGTTAGCTTCTCCTTCAAGTGGGGTTCATCTGCTTCATCAGGGAAACATCCTATCATTGGTAACAGTCACACCAGTGGTAGTAACTTCATCAAGGGCTTCACCGTTTCCCTTCTCAAAACCGAGATGAGTTTCTTCTTCGACAGTGGCTTTTTCAGGTGACACGTCTTCAGCAGCGTCATTTATTCCGTCTTCACTTTATCCCAACTGAAATGTCCTGGACCATGATAACGCCAAAGCTTGTTGACATGCACCACCTTTGGCTTACCTCGCCGACCACATTTTACCCAGAAAGTCACGTCTGAGAGACGATCCACTATGTCATATGGGCCTTCCCATGGAGAAGACAACTTAGAAGACTTCCCTTTGGTCTTCCTGGGATTACACAACCATACCTTGTCAATAGATCTCTTATCATAAGTTAACTTCATCGAATCAGCAGACGTTTTTCAAGTTTGAACGCACTTGATGGTGGATAC